TAACTTACCACTGGTAGATTTTAAATATTACTCACAAATAAATTTAATTAACGAATAAATTAATATATTATAATATATTAATTTATTGGTTAATTAAATATATTTGTAATATTTTGAGTTCTTTTTTTCATGATTTGCTATTCGGTATTCGGCCGAATAGTTTGCAATATTCGACCGAATACCGAATAGCGAAAAAAGTGGCCGAATAGCCGAATACCGAAAAGTTGCCGAATATTCGTGGCATCTCTAATTTTTATACGAGGTTTTGTTACAAGTCCCTGCTAATAACAGCTAAATTTTTTTACGCGTGAGGGTCGTGGGGCCCCTTATGGACACTTTATGAGGGCCCACCGGGAAACTCCCGGTCGCCCCCCGGTGGGCCAGCACGCGCCTGCCTACAGGCATAAACAAAATTAAAAAATCAACCCACCCTTATACCCAATCAATTGATCCCTATTTTCAGAAAATAAGACGAACTTGGCCAATTTTGAGGCTACGTTTCCTAATAAAATGTCATATTTGGCCTTTTGGATGTGGGCCATGGTATTTATGAACTATGTAATATTTATAAGCTGTATTATAATGTTAAGGGGGAACTTTTGAATGTTGTACAGTGGACGTCAAAGGGTTATGGTGTAATTTAGACTTTGCATCATAGACGTCCAATTGACAGCTATTTTATTATTTTATATAAAATAGCTGTCAATTCATTAAACAAAAATGCAGAAGCTCAGAAGTTAAGGCAATATCAAAATTGGAAGAAAATTGGTCCTTAAAAGAGCTTCTGTTAATGTTAGTAAAAGCTACATATTTTATATTAAGAAACGCTGGCAGTGCTAAAGTTTCTAATAAATTAATTGAGTTTTGATCTTCAATCGTTGAATATTTATCTATGTTTGTGCACCAATTTAAAATACAGTTAGTTATTTTTATGTCATACTTGTGACTATCATTTTTTATTCTTTTTCTTTTTTAAACATACATGATAATAAATCATATTATATTTTATATTTTGACATTGACAAGATTCTAACAAAGTTCAACACACTCCCTCAATGGAATAATATAAAATAAAATAAACCATTAACAATCACTCCCTGCAAAAAATATTAATCACTATTCACAGTTCATGAGTTTGTTTTTAAAGAATTTAAATTTGACAGGATGCAATGGTTTAGTGAAAACATCAGTCTGACAGTAGAAAATTTTATACCAGCCTTTCTTGTACTCATCTTTGATCAGGTGATACTTCAGATCGATGTGGATACATTTTCGTGTCAGCTGATTTGCTTTAACCATTTTAATACAACTATGACTGTCCACATGTAGATTAAGTTAAATTTTTCTTGACAACATTTCTTCCAAAACAGATTTAACATATTTCATCTCCTTACAACATTGGGCAGCAGCGATGTACTCTGCTTCTCCTGTAGATTCCCGTAAGCAGTCTCTGGTTGCACAGAGACTGCTTACGGGAACACCACACTATCGGCCCATTTGCATAAAACATAACATATCCAGTGGTGCTTTTATTGTTTTCTCTATCTCCTCCAAGATCAGAATCACAGTATACATTAAGTGTATAAACATTTGTAATACCATTAGAATAATGAATTCCAACAGCACATGACCCTTTAATGTACCTCATTATTCTCTTCACATTTATCACATCTTGTTTTATAGGGTTTCTTGTATACCTGCTAGCATAATTCAAAGCAAAACTAATATCTGGTCGAGTCTTGATAGAAAGGTAAAGAAGACTTCCCACAACCTCATGATATAAGTAATCAGTGACAATATTTTTTTCGTTATCTGCAGATTTATCTTGATGAGAAATAGGAGTCTTTGTTGGCTTGGCTTCTTCCATATTGAACTTTTTAACAACTTGTCGGGCATACTTGCTTTCATTTATTGTCACTCCATTTTCCCCCTGAGAAATCTGCATTCCCGTATAACTCTCAGGTTTATAATTTATTTTTATTTCAAATTGTTGACTCATTTTGTTTAGAATTTTCTTGACTTGATTGTTGTCTTCTGCTATCACTATACCATCATCCACATGAAAGGCAACAAACAGCTTGCTGTTGGAATTCGTTATTTTTAATACACATTGATCAGTTTGCAATTGCTTTAGTCCTTCTGATTTATGAAAATCCGTTAAACGCTTGAACCACTGATGAGGAGCTTGTTTAAGCCCATACAACGACTTTCTTAATCTGCATATTTTTCCTTCCTCTTGAATGTCATTTGGAAGTCGCATCTAAATCTCTTCATTTAACTGTCCATACAAAAATGCTCATTTAACATCAAAAGTACTTATCTTTAAGTTTTCAGATGCAGCAATAGCAAGCAACATCCTCAATGAGTTTGATTGTACAACTGCACTGTAAATGCATTCATAATCCAAAATTTGTTTTTGCTGACAGCCACGAGCTACCAGTCTTGCTTTGTAACGACCATTGTCTTTAATTTTGAACAGCCAACGACTTGTAACGATTTCCTTTCCTTTAGCATTTATCTCATCGACTAGATCCCAAGTGTTGTTATGCATAAGACTTTGTTTTTCTTCTTTAATAGCTTTAATCCATTTTTCATCTTCACTTTGCATACATTCTTCATAAGTACGAGACTCTTGAGTTAGCAAGCCATACATTACATAATCCTTATATCTATCAGGCATTTTTGTTGCTCTTTGAGGTCTTTGATTTTGTTCTTTATTTATTACTTCTTCATCTTCATGATCTTGTTCTTCTTCATGTTGCTCTTGTTTATTTTCTTTGTCAGTCATATCAAGAATATTTATTTCAGGACTTGAAAAAACTTCATTATCTTCTTGTTCACATTCATTGGTAAAATGAACATCTCTTGCAACATATATTTTTTTTGATTTAGGGTTCCAAATTCTGTATCCAACATTGGAATAGCCTACAAAAATCCCTTTTTGTCCTCTATCATCAAGTTTTTTCAAATGACCCAAAACTTTAGTATAAACTACAGTTCCAAAAATTGCAAGTCTTGATAGATCTGGTTTATAACCCTACCACTTTTCAGCGGGTGTCACATCCACAGCTATTGAGGGGCTTCTGTTAATTAAATATACAGCTGTTTCAGTAGCATATCCCCACATTTTATTGCTTAATTTACAGTCATGAAGCATTGCTCTCACTTTGTTCATTATTGTTAGATTAATTCGCTCAGCAGCTAGATTTAATTGTGGACTATATGGAATAGTATAATCCATAGTAATTCCTTTTTTGCTGCACCAATCTTTAAAAATATTGCTAATATACTCTCCTCCATTGTCGAAACGAATAATTTCAACTTTATCATGATTGAAATGAGCTTCACCTACTATTACATACTTCTTGATATACTCCTCTACTTCATCTTTGTTGTGAAGCAAGTAAACTTTCAAAAAATAAGTATAATCATCCAAACATGTTAGAACATACTCTTCATTGCAATAGGTTGGTGGATCAATTTTCCTACATATATCGGTGTGAATAATTTGAAGTGGTCTGTTGGCTCTTTTTCTTGCTGTGTTGAATGGCTTTCTTGTTTGTTTTACAATAACACATGTCTCACAAAAAATTGTACTGTCACACTTCTCTATACATAGAATGCGAAGACCTATCAGACAAAGTGTAGGAAAGGTTTCTAATGAGAATAAAGACGATGCTCCCATCGAACATATCCACCAAAATTCTTTTGAAATCGCTGTGGCAGCACAAGAAGAAACATTATTCAGAGGGTCTCTGATCAGAACTGCTTAATGGCGTTCAAAATAAGCTGGGTTAAAAAACTACGCTGCTGCCGAAAAGTTTTTTTAACGGACGAGATTAAGCGCAGGCGAGTTCACTTTGCAAATGAGTTTCAAATCACGGTAACGATTTTTGGAATAATGTAGTTTTTTCAGATGAAAAGGCCTTCCAGCCATTAAATAGTGAAATACTTTACCGCCAAAGAAATTCAAGATACGAGGAAAATGATACGTTGTGAACAAGAAATAGTGGGCGCATTTCCATTAATCTTTGGGAGTGGATAAGCGTTCACGGTCCTGGAATAGCACGGCTTTTTGATGGGCGATTAACAAACGCAAATTACGTAAACATTTTATAAAATTTTATGTTTCCATAAAGTAAGTTATCTCTATAAGTAAAAGAAGTTTTTCTGACACATTTCAACATAAAATAATATGGCATGCCATGGCACACATAACTGTTTATATTCATTAATTTCTCTCCCAGGACAATTCTCCAATTCATAGTACGAGAGTGGGTCAACAACCAATATTTAAATTTTTTACCATGGCCAGCAAGAAGTCCTGACTTGACCTTTCGAGAACGTATGGGACTTCATGGTGAAAAAGTTATATCGAAGGGATTTTAGGCCAGCGAACCGCGAACCATTGTGGCACGCTGTTGAAAATGCTTGGGAAGAGCTTGTTGATTCCTACGACATTTAATTATGCCTTGTCCAGAAGATAAATTACTAGTATTTAAAAGGATTTTGACGGATATGTTCAAAGAGATCATGCCTTTTTTACACCTTTTTTGAAATGTCTTCGTAATCTATATTGTTCCTGTCAGCGTTTCTTAATGTAAAATATGCATCTTTTACTACCATTTGAATCAGCAGCTACTTTACTTAAGGACCATTTTTTTGTTCAATTTTGTTTCTATGTTAGTTTAATTCTTAAATAAAAAGTGTTGCTGTTATTTTATTTTATTTAATTTCTTTTAAAAATTTAATCATTAAATTTTAATGTCAAATCTGCAAAACGATAATAATTAAATTTAAGTAATATCTATCTTTCTGTTCTTTATATTCTACCTTTTTTTTGTTACGCCACTGGGAAAAGCCAGAATTATAGAATTAATTACTTAAAAATCCAGGACAACCAAAAATCGTTTACATTTGGATGTCGTCAACAAAGATAATATTATCTTTGGTCGTCAACTGTACTTTATTAAAATTAAACATCAATTTAATTAACTTACCCAATTTAATTCGCCTTTGTTTAAAAGTTTTTGCAAACTGTTCTAATTCTTCCAAATCAGTTGTTTCTTCAGGCGATGGTTCTAATATTCTTGAAGGAGTTTTAAGATGCTGCGGCGTGAGACCACCAGAACTTGGGGTACTTGGTGTTAGCAGACTTGCAGGTATATGATTATTTGGGGGTGTTGTTTGGGTTTGGGGTATTTGAGTGTTTGGAGGTATACTAGTATTATGTTGATTGGAGTTTTGGTGTTGAACTTTTTGCAATTGTTGAAGTTGTTGGGCTGCCTGGGCAATTTGTTGTACCTAAATAAAAAATAATAACGATAATTAAATAAATTGAGTTTACTTAATTTAACATTAAAAAAAATATATAATATAACTATATAAGTGTGCATAATATTTATTTACTGTCGTAATTTAAAACATGCAATTCTTCAATTAAAAGTTGTCATTTTATGCTATTGTGTAAGACGATAAAAATATACAACTATAAATGTACATAATATTCAACATATACAACATATACAGATAAAATTGTAATTAGGCAATGCAATGTGTATTAAATTCTTATAAAAACTTTCAATAGATTGTAAATTATATTTAAATTTTAAAATAATATTTATTATGAGCAGGACCGGCAGAAGGGCATGTTATTATTAGGTAGTACTACCCACTTCATTTCGATTTTTAAACTATATCCGGAATGATTTTTTTAAAAGCGCGCTTACTCGACACGCGCCGACGAATAATTTATGCCTCATTTTTTCACTCACAGCGCGAGTTTGCGTATACGCGTATACGTTATTATAATAACGTCACTCATTAATCCCAACACATTGGTTTTATATATTGTAGAATGATTCTGTTTTATTAGAATAAAAGATCATATCGCCGTTGAAAATACGTAAAGGCGTATCTTGTTTTTGTTGCTATTTTCAAAAAATATTACAATATAATATCTGTGGGAAAAAGGCATAAGGGGATAAGTCAAAAAAAGTAATTTTTCGGTAGAGACTTAAACGTGTTCGCATTAATTCAGGAAATATATTTATGGTTAGCAAGTATACCCTTTTGCTAGCATATGATATGTGCTGGCAAAAGGGTATAACCGCTAACCATAAATGTATTTCCTAAATTAATGCGAACACACTTAAGGCACTGCTAAAAAATTGATTTTTTTGACTTATCCCCTTATGCCTTTTACCCACAGATATATTGTATCATTTTTAGAAAATAGAGAGAAATTAGATTTACATAATGTATTTTTTGTGTTTTAAATTAAGACCTTTATTCACAAAAATATACATATAGGTACAGTGTCATTCTCACTTATGGAAATTCGTTTTTCGATAAGACAATTTGTTTATGAAAAATTTTCAGACACGTAAAATCGTATAGGTAATAATAATTTTAAATTGTTTGCCTCCACCATATCCCCCGTAGCACATTATGCACATTTATCTTAAACAACAACCCCACTTTTTTTCACCAAAAAAGTGGTAGGGGCAAACAATTTTAAATTATAAGATTTTGAATAAAAATTACAATTTACGTGTCCGAGCGTTTTTAATAAAAATTTGTTTTTATTGAATGTTATTCCATAAGTGAGAACCACACTGTATAATATTTTGTCAAAAAGTGGTACATTTTGAATAAATTTACCTTAATTAAAAAATTGACACAATGATACGATGCAAATGGTAAATTTGACGTTACTTAATTATTGTTGATTGTGTCATTTTTGTAATTAATTCACAGAAAATGTCCCCCTTTTCGTGACAGAATCTGGTCACTTTAATAAATTACATTATTTTCAGAAAATAGGACTAAATAACATTTTTATTGTTATAAACAAAAAATTGATCTATTGTAGTTTATTAATTAAATTGGCTATACTTCATTTTAGCGTTGTAGGGTATCCAGAACCATTTGCCGGCTGCAGCGGCGAGAGCATGTTTTCTTTACAATATTGTCAGATTTAAAGTTTGCAAATTAATAAACAGATAGCTCCCTTAAACGGTCATCTCCCAAAACCGGACTTCTAAAACCATTTTCCATTGTATTTATTTAACTTTCTTACATGCCATAAGAGAACAGAAATTTTGGAACCTTAAAGCTTTCTCTGTATTTAAAGTTCCACGCTAACTCTTTTTAAAATTTGCCGCGTTTTTATATTAAACTAAACTTATTATTAAGGTTATATATGTACTATGCTCCACACCTCAAAGTCCCACCACGTGACGTACGGAACGCAGTCTTTTGAAAATTTGGCATTTGAGGCTTTTCAGGTTATGTATCTGTCATAGTCTTTGTAGTATCGCAGTAACAATGGTTTACGAATTAAGGAATATAAATACTGCATTTAATAAAATTAAAAGTGTATGGTGTCAAATAAGTAATATTTTTGTGCATTTGGTCTATAGACCATGTATGCATATCTAGTTTTCTCCATACAATAATTTAAACTTAATGGCATTTATTAAAAAAAGTCTAGCTTCTCTATTATGGAATAAAAATATCTGTATCAAAGGTAGGTTAATATATTATCACAAAAAATATCATCTAATTTTATAATCTTAAGGTTATAAAAATCCATTTTGACCAAAATAAATAAGAATTTTGGATAATTTGGAAGCGTGTATTAATATGGTCACATAAATATAGGTTTACTAAATAATTGTTGAATATGGTTTAAATTAAATTGAAGCTTTTATACTTCTAATGACAAAACTTGTGCATAGATCTCGGCATGCCTACTTTAGAAGTTAAATTATAAGAAAACAAACAATTTTTAGATTAACTTGCAATGTAAAAATATTTAATACTTCCATGACATGTAATCTTTTAAAATTTTAAAAGTTATAATGATGTTTTGATCAAATTCAGTTGATACCTACTTGTGTTGACAAAACTTTATGTAATGGATTAAAAAAACTTTAATTTTTTTAAAAGAATTTGTAAACTAAAAATATTAGATACTCCTTTACTGTAGTATTTATAAATAAAATGGTTCAATTTTTCAGGAAACCTTAACAATAAAGGATTATAACTAAAATAAAAACAAAACACGAATTTATTTAAATTTTCCAAAAGAAGTTTTACTTAAAGATAATCCATACAGTTTAGAATTTCATTAAATGCAGTATTTATATTCCTAAATTTATTGTTATTGTGACCTACCTTTCAGTAGTCGCGCTATTTTTTTTCAAGTATATTAGCCCCGGTCTGTAACACCGGGTTGTTTTTTTACAGGTTTTGCGATTTTTTTTATACATATTTTTCTTCCAATTGCAATAGGCATCTACCAGGGGTAGTATTTTCTTGAGATTCTTGAAGTATAATTCCACAAAATTCTTGAAGTCTCAATTTCAAACTTCGTGGAATGTCGGTCAAAGCAGCAGAGTTATTTGTAACACGAATGGTCACCTCGGTCTCACAAACCGGAAGTCACTATAATTCGCAATAAATATGTTCAATCGCATCCAAATTCCAACTGAGCATTCATGTACACTATTTAGGAAGGTACGTGGGCGGTGAAGTTTTTATATCCACCATCTTCAAAGTTTAGTTTGATGTCAGACACCGTGCGCGACTACTGAAAGGTTAATCATAAGCGGTAACAGTACAAATATTATTTCTTTCATTGACTATACTTTGACAAATACATAACCTGAAAAGCCTTAAATGCCAAATTTTCCGTACGTAAACACGGGTTGGGACTTTGGGGTGTGGAGCATAATACATGTAGCTCAGGCGGGCTTGGTCAAGCACTGCTGTTTTTTTACTACCCACTCGGGATTGAGCGTGTTCCGCCGGCCCTTATTATTAGTAGGTACTTAATTACTTTAGAAACAAAAAGTATTTTAAGTTGCAAATTAATAATTTTGTGATACAAATCTATATTCCACAATTAAGCTAGTTTTGATGCTACGTAGAAATACAAAAAAATTATCAATTTCGAGAAGTTAAATAATGTTAAAGGTATATTAAAATGAATTTAAAGAAATTATATTTAATTACATAAAAAAAATAAAACTTTACATGCTGTGGTACGTAATAAACTTATTGTGTATTTAACACACCTGCATATTATGGGGACTATGTCTAGGTGGTATATTTGATCTTGGAAATCCTTGCATAAAGCCCTTTATATTAAAAAATATTTATTATGTTGAAGATTCATAAAACCCTTGTAGATATAACACAATTATTTCTACAAAAGCTCAAATAATTCATAAAAACCGTACCTGGTTTTGAAACAAAAATTGAGCCTGAGGATTCATTTGGTTTCCACTAGCCTGATGCAGCATTGCCAATTGTTGCAATTGTTGCAGGCTCTGGGGATTTTGAAAGGCTTGCAGCATTTGTAATGGATTGCCTAAAAACCCTCCAAGAGCTCCGTTAATTGCAGTCAAAATATTTGGATTTGAACTAGTCACTTGAGAATTTGGGGTAGATATTCTTGGTTGGTCATTTTCAGCAGTAACCTGTAAAAGTAACATTCAATTTAATTAAAGTTCCAAAATGAGATGTTAATACGTTTAAATATCAATTATTTGAATATATCATGCTTATATTAATGACAAAACCCTTGAGAAACTGGCCAATCACATCGTCACTGTGCTTTGTTTCGAAAACTCTTGTTTAAGAATAGACTTATTAATAATATTTAAAAACAAACAATTGTAATACATAAACAAATTAAGATCCCTATTTTAGGGAGTAAATTAATAGTAATGGTAAAAATTATATTGAATGCTGGCCTGTATTAAATATAAACAAATAATTCCCTTCAATAAAAGCCACCTTAAATAATGTACACAATTAGATATCTTATAATTATGTATGCATATTAAGTTTAATATTTCAATGTAATAAGATTTAAACTACCAGTTAGGTTTAATTTAACAGGATATTTGTTTTAAAATTAACATAATTACTTCTTAAATTATCCATGGTAATTGAGATGCCTCAGGACTCAAAGATTATATTCGTTACAAAATTAAGAAATTAGCACTGTATGGTTAAAACTGGTTAATGAAAGCTGTCATTACAGAGAGGTTTAGTATGCATACGAGAACTACCTATGAATTTAAACGGTTAAACTAGGCTCAGTAGTTTTTTGTTTGGTTTATCTTGGAAAATATTGAATTCAAAATAATTTAATAAAATCACGAGACCGCGTAGCGGTCGAGTGGTTTTATTTTTAATTATTTTGCATGAAACTATTTTCCAAAAAGAAAAATCAAATAAAAAACTTACTGAGCAGAGTTTGGCAGATTTAATTATAGGTTAAGTAATATACGTCTAGATTATTTCTCGAAATAAAGAAAACTATTTGACAATTAAAAAATTTTTTAAACAAAATTCAATTAATTTAAAAGTATGTAATAATTTATATTTATATTTCGTAAACTAGATAACTTATTTTTTATTGTTTAAAAAAAAATGTATGTTAAAATTCAATATGGAGGCTAAAATTTAATCGTAATTAATATTATAAGGGCATCTATTTTTCAGAAAAAAAAACGAAAAAACACGCTGCTAAGTAATATTTTAACAAAAAGCATGAATGCTGGTGGGACCAAAAATCCTAGTCGAAGACAAGGATTTTTGCACCTGCACGAATGCATTTTGTTAAAAAAATACTTAGCATTGTGTTTTTTCGATTTTTTTTTTCACAGAAAAAATCAGATGCCCGAATGGTATTTGACAAGACTATTTCAACAGTTACATATAGCTTACAAAACATATGGTACACTACCTATTATACATGTAATTTTTAGTTTCAAGTTTTGCCGTGGGTAAACTCGAAAAAACTGCTGACAGGTGCTGTCATACAGTTGTTCCACCTAGAAACCATTTGTAATTCAAAATTGCGCGTTTGTGATTAGTGGAAATTAAGACAAGAGAAATAGTCGCTGTTAAACAGTTCTAATGTTTTAATCGCTTATGAAACAAAATTTATTGGAAAATTCAAGGCTTTTGATTGGTTCATTTTATAATGAGGGAAATAATCTTTATTAAAAAAATATACAAATAAAAACGTTAAGTAAAGCGAAAGAAACTAATACATCGAATATAAATCTTTTTATTAACCAAACTGTTTACCAAACTATATTATCAAACAAATAAACTCTAATTCGATCCAAAATGAAACAGGGGATCGCATTTCCCCAAAGATTTTGATAATTTAACTTTTTGAGGGGTTTAGAAAATTCCCATATATTTGAAAAGTTAGGATTTTATTATTGGAAACATACTTTTTTAAAAATAACACTTTGTTAACAAAGGCCCGAGGGATGTCTGTCGATTATATTTCTTTGACAAATATGTAAGAAAAGCTTTACGACAAATTAAAAACTAAGCATATATTTCTCTACAACTGTCGTAATATCGATTCCAAAATACAACAGTGGCAGTTCTACAAGTGTACAATTGACGAAATATTACATACCATTTAGTTAATTTTTTTTTTTTTAACATACTGCAACAAATTTTAAAAAATATATTAGGTATGGTTTTTGCAAAATTTATATTATAATTATTATTTAATTAAAAATAATCAAAAGACTTACCAAATTTAATGCGCCCCCTCGGTCACTGTCCATAGAGTTTTCATCTTGATTGTCCAAATGATCACTATTTATACTTTGATCATCACCACTTAAATCACCATTTGGATCATGTTCTATAAAAATAAAAAAATACATAAATATAAATTTTTTAATTGGACTCATTTTATACAAAATAGGTATAAACTTTTTGTTAAATGGATGAAAAACAAATTCACCCTAGTAACTTTTCTGGTCTTCAATCAATCATAAGTTATCGTATTTCAATGCCTGTTGAAACGATATTTAAGGGGTGAGTTTAAACGGTTGAAAGGGTGTAAATGTGAATAAACTCGCGTTAATGCGTAAAAATTCACCCCCGTAAATTATTTCGCCATATGCGTATTATGGTGGAAACACTGATTTTTTACCCCTTTATGGATACTAATAGAAGTTCTATTAATGTGAAATATGATTTATATATAAAAAATACATTGTAATATAATAAGTGTGCATATATATGTGTATACACACATATATTATTACAAATTAGAAAATGTAGGTATTTCTAATTTTTTGTAAAAGAGGAGTGAGTAAACACTTTTAGAATATAAATAAGGTTATTTAGATAGGCTTGAATGCAGTCCCTCTTACCGAATGATTATTTTTTTACAGCGGTCAATATGTAAAATAAGGGACTGATTTTTAACTTGCAACTACGTGATACGACTTTGAAATTCTAGCAATGATTTTCTTGAAATATCTTTAATATTGCTGATTTGAATAAGACATTTTAAAATCTAAAAATTATTGAGATTTCATTTTGAATAACAAAATAGGAGGATTGATAAATATTTTAAATGTTATTTTTATCATACAAATTTTGTTATATTTCTGTGTGATTTTTATAGATACGGAAATTTACAAAATCCAAGTCTTACAATTAAATCCAAACTGTATTTTTTTAATTTAGCAATGATAATATTTTGTAACGTACCAAATAATTAACAAATAAATATTTTCTTACACAATTATACTCACGATTGCACACAAAATTGCATTTATATTTTTTACCTGTTGAAAATAAACGAAAACCCAGCTATGACACGCGCATATGGTTGGGGTTAACAGGCGTCTTAATAAATTGAAGATCTTTTATAATTCAACAACCGGAGCCACGTGACTCGATAATCCCAGGCACGTGACTATTTCCTTTATTAAAAAGGGTTAAATGCCACTTAGGTTTTTTTATAAACCTAATAGCTTTCTTGAGGGAAACATGTTTTATTTATTTACTTGACACACAACATTTTTCCATGTGGGTAAAAAAATAAAACTATTAGTTTTCCAAAAAATCAAGTTAAATATTGGTAGGGGTTTTTTAAATACATTTTTTCTTAAAACATTACATTTTCAATGAGTTTAGCCTTACATAAAATAATTATTATTATAAATATTTAAATTGGGAACTTAAATAGTTTTATGGGTAAAATAATAGATGTTTCGTTTATGTTTATGCTAGATAAAGAATTATTTTTTTAATATATTTAAATAACACTAACTAAAATATAAAATGTGCTGCCTGACTATAAGATTGATGGCTGAATTGTAATACCATGTCAAACAGGGTAAAAATCAACCCCCTTTATATTTTGAATTGCTTTTGTTCAATTTTGCACCAATAAAAATTTACATACAACCCTTTATAATGCCACCCCTTTTAAATTTTTTACCACGCGCCATTTTAATCGGTTAAAAATGAAACACGGGTTTAATCGGATATACAGTGGTTTATATAAAATAAAATATATCCCTGGGAATTATTTAAAATATTTACCAGATTTATTCAATGTTTTTTATAATATAAATACTTAAGTAGAAATTCTTGATATGCAATGTAATAGAAAAGATAAAATGAAAAACCCATTGAAGCAATTTTCCAATCGACAAGAAGCATGTTAAGTCTTGCAAACATTTTGATAAGGCAGATAACCATAGGGTGAAGGCGTATTTACGTCGGAGTATAAGAAATTTTACACCTATTGAACATTCATATTAAGTAATCCAGGCTGGATCATCCATGGATGCTGCAGCAATTAATTTTTAAGTAAATATATATTTTAAGAAAATTAAAGGGGGCATTAAATTATTATAATAACCTCTTTTAAAATAAACAGTATAATAGAATATTATGTATCAAGTTTGATAAACGCCATTTTTAGTCACAAATTTAAATTAGGCACGAGCGAGTGTTTAATTAAATGAGTATCTAGAAAAGTTTAAAAACGAGTAATAATAATAAGAATGGGAATATGTCACAGACCTGTGAAATATGTATTACCGTTGGCAAATTTTGTTATCAAAAGTTTGTGGAGTCTCCACCCGAAATTGTTAATGCTTTATCAGTAAAATCTAGAATACTGCCGGCGAAATCAAAAGGTCAGTACAAACTTTTAAAATATTAGTGTTAAGAAACTTATTATTACTTTTGAATTTTTGTATTAAGATAATAAAATAATATTCACATTTAGTATTATTTACAGGAATGGTGTAGACAAAACTATTTAATTAGGAGTAGTTTAATAAGTTAAAAGAAAAGTAATCCTAAATAATTAGGGTGAGAAATTTACGACCTTGAGTCAAATTTAAAAGTCATCAAAAGCATACCGCCTGTTAAATTAAGATAAGTAGTTATAAAAAATATGAAAATTATATATTTTTAGACAAAAGCTCCATCTTGCGTTGTTGAGGCTTATTTTTAATTATTTTTTAAATTTGTTTTTAATTATTTGATTGTTTATAGTACTTACCATCGTTGGATGGAGGAGTTGAGGGTGTTTTTTCAATTTTATGAATCGACCTACTTTCAGCTGAAAAAAATAAATCCTTATTACTTTTACGAATACACAAATCATATTATTATATTTAACAACCATTCTTTTATTAGTAATAATAATAATTTTTAGCCAGAAAATAAATCAGGTACGAGGTCATATTGATAAGTCCTTAAAATGTGTATGAAAATGCAACCTTTTGGGCCAAATTAAGTTTTATTTTCGAACATAATCTCACTTTAACTGGATACGATACGATACTTAGTTTCAGTTCCGGAAAAAGTAAAAAATCACAGAGGCCAAATCTGAAGTATATGGAGGATGCGGCAGCAATGCCCAGCCTTATTACTTGATTTTTTAATGGTTATAACGGCTTTGTTAGCTAAAAAATTGTCTTGGATCGCAACCGACAATCCATTGAGATGGCAACGGTCTTAGAAATCTTATCACATTTACACGTTGATCCTTCAATAGGATTTTGCGGACTTCTCAGGTGATTTCTAGGATGAGAAACGTTCAGCATCATTTTTCGATGTACGAGCCCTAACCACATAATGTTCGGACACTTCATAATTTATACAGAATTTTTTTTCGTGAATACTATCTCAAAATTATTAGAAGTTATAAAAAATTCAGCTTATTTTGGCATATACCCCTCGAAGCGATTTTTATTTTTAAAAAGTTTACCTTTTATTTTTAGCTTTTAAAAAAAGGCTAACTTTTTAACTTTTTTTTGCATGAGTAAAAAAAGTTATAAATGGGCCCATTAAAAAGAACATAAAATATTATACAAACCCTGAAAATTTGGTAAAAATTGTATAAATAATAAGAAAGTTATAGCGATATATATATCTGCAAAATCTCCCGTTTCCTAAGAAAATTGCAAAAACTCTTTAAAAATAGCATTTTTAAATTACTTATACTTTTTTATAACTTATTTATTTTTTACCAAATTTTCAGGGTTTGTATAATATTGTATGCTCTTTTTAATGGGTCCATTTATAACTTTTTTTACTCATACAAAAAAAAGTTAAAAAGTTAGCCTTTTTTTAAAAGCTAAAAATAAAAGGTAAACTTTTTAAAAATAAAAATCGCTTCGAGGGGTATATGCCAAAATAAGCTGAATTTTTCATAACTTCTAATAATTTTGAGATAGTATTCACAAAAAAAATTTCTGTATAAATTATGAAGTGTCCGAACATTATGTGGTTAGGGCTCGTACGACCATGACGAGATTTGACAAACCAGTCTTGATGCTAAAATACGCTGATACAGAGTCCCCATAATGACTAGTCGACTTTCAAGCCATAGTGGCTTTCTTAAACGCTATTTTTCTCCCATTAACAAATACAAAATTTGTTAACAGATTGATCTAATATTTTAACAGTAATAGTTTGAAGGATGGTCCTTGTTAATCATGCCAACAAGTTATAATTATGGCGCCCTCCTTTAAAAATTTTAAGGACTATCAATATGCTTTCGTATATTGTATTCATAGACGGTTTATGATCGTATTAGTACCTTCAATTATTAGACAGACGGTATTATAATAGTGTGTGTTAATATTAAACTATTAATAATAATTGTGTTTTTGACGGGTTTAACGTTACATGTAATAATGTAATGTCACAAATAATTGTATTGCTTACCGATTTATTAATCTTTATGAATTAAAGTTATCCCAGAAGGAATATAAAAAACTAATGGCTAGAAAAACGCAATAAAATTGCGATTAATTGCTATATTGTAAGATTTTCATTTGTTCACTATCAAATCCAGAGAAACCAATTAATATAAAACTACAATTAATTAAATTGCTCTTATTGGAAATATTTTTTCTTCGATTCCCCAATTAATTATCAACTATTAACTAATAGAATAGCATTTTGTGAAATTTTATAGATAAATATTAATATTTGTTACCTATTTTATATTATTTAATAATGAAAGAAATGTAATATTTCTATACATTAATCTTTATCCTGTCTCTGTGTATCCATTAAGGTTAGGCTATAAATAACTGGTGCAAAGCAAGTGAAACACAGTGGCTGGGAGCAGGAATAAAATGTAATAGAGCTCAGGATATATGCAAAAGCCAGCGGCTGAGAGGGAAAAATAATGGACAGGGGTCACTTTTCCCAGAGGTGCACTAAGAAATAAACTATCCGAGACGCCTTCAAATGGACATTTTCAGCCGCAAAAGCCCTTATTATACGTCCGAATTTATAAATAAAACAGATAGGTACCAACTATATAATATTTTATCCATATTATGTTCATCAATGCCTTTTAAAATAGAACACTTTAAAATGTTTTTTTATGAATGACTTAGTTATAGTATTATTTATTTGTAATAATCTTTAAAATTATTTAGCTTTAATAAAACCCCCTGTTTAATTAATACAATACCTATATAATAATACAGGGGCTTTAAAAATTGCGCACCAATGCCATACCATTATTTTGATAATAAAAAATTACTCTTTTGAGTTATATAATTTTTAAAATGTTATTTTTAAATTTAATATTTTAATGTTTTAAGACCATCTTTGTAAAAGGAGAAAAAAAGTTTAATGCCATTTCAAAAATAATAATTTTTGAATAATAATTATACTATAACCTATAGGTTTTATAGGTTTTTATTTTTTGACACAAACTGTAACCTCGGCTTCCTTATTTAAATTGTTTTTATATACCAACCGTGCCAGACTATTAAACACACCCCGGTGTCAAGTTTTTTTATTTAATTTTCGTTAAAAAAGATTGGTGTGCTAATATTATTTTTTAGTGTTGCCACCAATTTAAAAGAAGAACTTCATCAACTTTAAAAAGTATAGAGGAAATAACAATAAAAAGTGACGAAAAATAACTAATAAGAAAAATGTCAATGTCAATTATTAATATGTTTAATTACTTCATTTAAAAAGGGCATTATCTATTGCATTTTAAATAACTATTGCATGCATGTAGAGAATAATTGGTTTGTGAATTTTTGAATAATCTGGTATCATACTTCTCCATGATGAAACTTTTAATATTTATACTAAGAATTTTTATATTCAAAGCCCTTTCAAGCTATTCATGGATCCACACAATAATTTTATTATTCATAGATTTCTACATGCAAATACCAATGCGGTTATTATAAATTATTAATAATTCAAAAAACCAGTAAAAGTAATTTTAAAAATCTCTTTTAATATTAAAATCTATGCTTAATATGTAAAGGGCCAAGTTTGAATTAAATTAATTTTAAATTATTATCTATACAAATAGTACTTACATTTTGATACATGAGGTATATTGTCAAATTTTAAATTACAAAAATAATTTTTATACGGCTTGTTATTCATCGATGATAAAGATATCATATTGAAGATAGTATTAAAACTAAGTATTTAAAATAAAATAATAAAATATATATGGTTTGGATTATTGATAAGAATCATTTAAATCAATAATAAATATTTTTAACACGTGGAATATTATAAATTTATTTTAATATTAATTTAAAAACATTACTTGGAATATAGGTGGAAATTTATGTATAATCAGATTTGTCAAGTTAATAGATTACCTATTTATTTAAGTTGTTTAAATAATATAGGTGCCCATACTTAATAATGTTGTACTTTGTATATGTACATTTAAAGAATAAAAGTTTTAAGACAATGTAACTAATTTATATAAAAAGAAGAAGAATATCACAAATCACTATGTAAATTAACAAACTAACAAATATCATACTTATAAAAATTACTAAAAATGTTAAAAACATGATTTTAAGAAGGAACGGAGTTTTAAACATAACTTTCCTAGAACGCGTACGAATTTAGACTGAGTGGTCAGTTGGTCATATGACGTGATAAAATCGAATCTATTAAAATGCACCCCCAAACTTTGTGTTCTAACACATGTGCTCAACTTTTTTCTTAAAGATCCCTCTTTACAAATCATTGCGATTAAAAAACACGTTTTTAAAAACTTACTTATTCTATTGTTCTATGTGGGTTACGTCATTTTCGATTAGGGAAGGACGGTCAAGGATAATTGTGGGAGGGGCAAATTGTCATTGTTGCCACATATTGCCCGAGCGTTTTTATATTAAACAAAGGGTTGTAAGTAGCTCAAGCCCGCCTGTGCTAATTAAAAAACTTTAATAATACCTATCATAAGATTTGCCTAATATAAACTATAACCCGTGTCTGTGAGGGGAAATCTTGCCTGTCTTAGGCCCGGTTTATTAATCTCTGGTTAAGTTCCAGTTAAATTCTATATCGATTGTTGTGAGAACAATGGTATCCATGGAAATTATCTACCAGATAACTATAGTTATAACTGAACTTTAACTGGACTTTGATAAACCGGCCCTCTGTCAAGCACAATCATTTTCTGTCTTAGATGTGTCGAGCTGTAATGACCAGGATACCCAGCTTCCATGCAGGAGGCTCGGGTTCGATTTCTGGTACTGAAGTAGTTTTTTAATTTTTCCATATCAAAAATACTCCATTTTATTGTCAAATTAACTAAATACAATATGACACTAAAAAATGTTCTATTCACAATTCACACAACAAGGTCTTCTCTATCTCATTTCGCGCATACTAAAAATCACGAAATGTGGCAACCTACTGCACAGACTCTAACTGCGGCCATTTTTATGTTTTTTACAATTATTGTGCTTTGGTTTTGTCCTGTTTATACAGATTAAAAGCTCATTCACATCCAATTAATAAGTTGAATACATGGAAACCAATGCAGCTGTTTTAATTCGTAGAAAACTTATCACATGTAATTTAACGTATTTAAAAGTTGGGTCCGGCTTAATTTAAGGGATTACGTTTCTTACGTCAGCCAATCACATGCACAGTAAAACGATATAGCTCTATCTTGTTGTTTCACTTGTACATTTGTGTTGCCAATTGTCATTTCGTGTGTGTTTTTGAGGTTAGGGTTATTTAATCATAGCTTTTTTTATTGCCATTTCGCATTGCCAACCTACTTTATTTTATAGATAGGCAATCAAGTCTACATCC